TTGCAGTTTTGCAAAGCCTTGCAGTGTTGGAGCTGAAGCCCTGCCAAGTCTGTTTTGCAACCAAGGCCTGCAGTGCCTGCAGTTTAGCAGACTTGCTTTGCCAGGTCTGTAGTTGGCAGCTTTGCTTCGGCAGTGTCTTGGAAACTCTTGAAGTTTTGAAACTTCAGGTTGCCAGGGGCTGCAGTTTTGCAAAGCCTTGCAGTGTTGCAGCCCTGGCAGGTGCGCAATTTTGCAACCGTCCTCAACAACACTGCACTTGAATGTCGACCCCAGCATATGCGCATCTGTTTCTTGCAAAAATGCACCGCATCTTTCTCAAAGCACAGAAAATGGTCGATCTTTGGGGGGGGGATAGCATATATATATATATATGTATATCTCCACATTCCTTAGATGTGAATGTGCTTCCTTTGTAGTGCGGAGTTTGTCACGGATGGAAGCCCATATCTCATGGATTTAGGAATCTCCGGCACAATCTAAACAAGGCTCAATTGATTCCCCATTGCAAGACAGGATAGTTCTTTTGATCGAGGAGCCCGAGAAAACAATTCCGCTGAAGATTGCCCAAGGGCCGAACTTCTCACATGTTCTGAGCATTTTCAGGACTCCAGCTTTGCCCCAGCGGACATGATGGCCACTTGATGCAACAAGGTTGCTGGAACTGCAACCAATCTGAGATCCAATGGTTGCGATGGATCTTCGAATGTCTGTCCCCAAACGGGTTCTGTTTCAACCACACGCCCTTCTGAGACCGCTCTCTGATTCTCCGGTGGTTTCCCCTGCTCCGACCTTCCCACGTTACGTTTGGGTACGCAGAAGCATCAGATCCTTGCAGCCTGGTTTGCCTCTTTTTTTCGGGGGCTATGGCAGGTGCAACCCATCATTCGCAAAAAAATCAAAAACATCGCAGTCACTTATCCTCCTACCCGTTCGCCCAAATCGATGGTGAGCTTCTCCCAATCGCCCCACTCGACCCCCAGCGACTCGCGACTCGCTCGGAGCCGCCGCTAGCCGTGGACAACAGCCGCTTCGAGCGCGCGGGGCGCATGGACTGCGAGTCCGTGAGCTTCGCCCACAACAACTTGGAGATCGCCCCTCGAGCTGGGCGGTTGGCTCGCGGAGGGCTGGCGGCTTGAGGGCGTGCGGAGGGCTTTTGAGGGCTTTTGAGGTGGCGTTGGACATGAAGGGCCATGGGAAATCCTCAAGTTTGGAAGTGGAAGTTTTCAGGGAATAACTTTGGAGGGAAGCAGGGCCAAAGTCAGTGTTGCCTCAGCGGCTTGATTGGCAATGCCGCGCGATTTTGTTTTGGGCAGCCCTGGGTCTCAGTCTGCACAAGGAACTCAGGATGGCAGCCGCTGAGGATGTTGATCTTGTCTAGGATCTTGCGGGGATGTGCCTCCGCCAATGCAGTTGCATGGAGGGAAAGAGTGTGTGACAGATTCCGAGAGGATCCACACATGTGCCACGAGTCAAAACATGCGACGAGTTGATAGGCATGGTTGTCCGCCTATTTTGCATGAGACAACCATTTTCCATTCGGCGAACCATGATCATGACCAAGAAGGTTTGTGAAATGCCAAGCCCTCTAAATGGTGGATGCACTTAGATTTTTGTTGGCCAGATCAAAAGGTTCAATTATCCAGGTTGAGTGGAGTTTGGCGGTGTGAAGGGCCCGACGATTCCAACGAATCGACTATTCTAAGCGATGCAGTTGACAAATCCAAAGCTATTTGTGGCTTTCTCACAACAGCCGCTCAGGCGTCCTCGAATTGGTGGTATGGTTGGTGGTTTGGGGATTTTGACCCCCTGGTTGTTGTAGAGGGTAAATGGGAAACCGTCCTTAAACCACCGAACCACCAACCCAAATCACCAATGAGTGGGAAGCTGAAATGCGCCGCTCAAACCAAGAGAAAAGAGAGGGCAAGCCGAACAAGTCTGACTCCGTGTTATCACGCTTTTCATGCGTTGCTCCTTTGTCCTGGAAAACGTATGCATAGCGAGGATATTCAACTACGTAAGTGGATGATATGGTTAAATCGGTGCCTGCAACTTCGCGCCTCAATTTTTCCACAAGTCCATTCCTTTTCATATTTGGTCCCATGGATGCACGGAACGTTCCGTGCGGATCGCCCAAAGGCATGAGCATAGGCTCACAGAATCAACATGACTAAAGCTCTAGAGCACAGTTTGGATTCGCTTTTCGTGAATGTAGGTACTTTTCTACTCCTCTTTTTTCAGATTCTTCTGGTACTCTTTTTATATCCTCCCAAATGGATCCGCGAACGCATGCTTCAGCCATGAGGACATCAACAACATCATCTACCCCGTGACTCCGGGGGAGCAGATCTACGTGGCAATCACCCAGAACGTGAGCCCCGCCGATGATCCTCGGACACTGAAGCCGGGCACCTGGTGGCCCGGTGGGTTGGGTGCGGGGGCAGCTCGGACCGGCAGTGAAAACCCAAATGATGGCTTTTGGCTGGGTTTGCCACAAGCTCGCACGCTCCAGGTCATGTAGGGGGACAAGAATCCTGAAGTTCGGGACGTTACTAGTGTATAAGGAGACTGCAACAGGTTGTGAGCTGTGATTTGATGCCTTGTTGGCTTCTCAACTTGCCACTTTTGGGGAAGTGTCAACTTTCCGTTGAGTTGCTGTCATTCAGAGCCCCGGTGGCAGTGATTGTGTTTGCGCACCGCATTACACTCCATGAGCTTGCCTGTTGCAACTGGTGCATGCCGGCCCAAATGAATGGCCGCCACCGGAGTCCTTTTCAGGTTACAGCCTGCTTGACTTCAATCTTTGTAGACCACGAGCGCGTTTCAACTCGCATGTGGCGAGTCGTCACATGTCGCGACGCTGCAACATGCAGAGCCCAACATGGAGCCCAGAAAGTCGGATGCGGCCCCATCCTGCCGCACACTGGCCACCCGTTTGAAAGGGCACTTCCTCAAAGTAAATTCGGGCTCTCCGACAGCATAAGTCCTACCCCAACTTTCTTGGACATTCTTGTCGGCGCATTCGACCTGGGGAAAAAATCTAGTAGATAACTTATGCTGTGTGTTTTGTACAAGATCCTGCTTTCCGCAAAACAATTTGGGGGTGCCATGCGCACGTTGCGCTCAGCACGGCCTACGACCATGACCCGCGGCTGCTGGGCCGGTCTGTCATGGACCAGTTCGACTACGTGATGTTCGGCAAGGCTGCCGTCGATCTGTGTTGCCTTCATGGGAGGGGCCTGCTGGTTGGTTGGCTGGTTGGCTGGTTGGTTGCTTTGGTTTTTGGGTTGCTATATTTGTCGGATGAACAAAAAATCCAGGGCTCTCCGTGGCATGGCCTCTGGGAAGGGGAATCGGAACGGTTGAACGGTTGCGGCTTGCGCTTCCGCGGCTTGGAAGGTCTACAAGAAGGAGCTGAAGAAGGACGACAACTTGGCGGTGCGCGTGGGTTGAGCGCCGCAGAAAAAAACCAAAAAACAACGGCTCAGGACACAGAAGAGCGTGTCAGGTAGGGAGCTAGTTGGTGGTTTGGACTGGTGAAGTGGGCAAATCTGAGTATGGGTGTGTCCTTTTTTTCCTTTTTTCCAGGAGCCCCCTTTTGGTGGGTTTTAAAATGGAAACCGAAGGAACACTCACCATTTTGGGTCCCCTAAACAGACACACCCACATAGATGCCCAGTGGTGCTTCGTGTGTTAAAACGGCGGCAAACAGGCTTCTTTCTTCCCAGGAGCCATGGGGTGGCCAGTGATAAGACCAGAATAGGCACTGGAGAGCTGCAGGATTTGAAAGCGCACGTCTCCGCGTTCAACCAAACTTATTCCCTTACACACGGCAACTGGGTGTGGGTCAAAAACTGGTGCTCAATCTGGAACCCTGGTGAACGGAAACCACAAAACAAAACTGCGGTCCATTTCCTGGGGGTTGAATTTTGACCCATACCCAACTGAAGGTTCTTTTCAGTCTAGATCCTCAGACCAGGATGAAGTCTTGTCTCGATGTGACACTGCCTGGCCGTCAGCGCATCAGTGCCAAGGATCTAGACCACTGCATCACTTTGTTTGAAACGCATCCCGGTTGGTCAGGGCTCCTGAAAAGATCTCCATTTTGCCCACCCATTTGAGTTACATGTGGCTTTTTTTTTTAAACACCAACATAAAGTTGGAAGCTTCACCTGTTCAGGTTTCTTTTTAATGCATCCGGATCCCGGTTGGTGTGCTGGCGGCCAAGCCTCCAGATGGCCTGGGCCAGGTGGTGTGGGCCTCCTATGGAGGTTTGCTGATGAAGTCCGGGGCTTGGGCGCGGTGCTTTGGTGAAATGGGTCGCGGAGATGGTCCGAGGTAGGGGTGCTAGTTTGGATTTGGGTCGCCCTGGAGGGAAGAAGCCTGAAATGGATTGGTGGTCAAAGCCGTTTTGGGATCCCATTTTGGTTGGTAGGTGAATTCACCGCCCATTTTAGGCTTCCTATTTTAGTGGGGTACGGGCTTTTGGATTTTGACCCATGGCCAAATTGGAAGGGTATGCTGAGGGAGCGAGCCTGAATGGAGAAGACGCACATTTGTCTGTCTTTGGAAGACACGAGTCCAAAGCTTTCTCAACCGCAGGCAACAGCCAACACCCCTTCCCGTTTTCGCTAGCCCTGAGCCAAACCAACTCAAGGCCAGCCTCCACCGTCTCCAATTCAGAGCAAAAAACCTAACAGCTCCCTAAAGTCAGCTCACTCCTACAGGAACTTACTTCCTTTATCAGCCCCATGGAAATGGGGGGATAGGGCCGCGGACCCCACCCAAAGACTCCCCAGCCCCCCCCCCCTCCCCCAGTTGCCTCAGACAAGAATTTATGAACCAGACTTGGATTTGTGCGATCTGTGTATAACCTGCAACACAAAATTTGCTTCCCTGTGCTCATCGCATGATCATTGCAGTTCCCTAATTCGATTGAAATGCTTCCTCAGACACATGACAACATTTGATCCTCTTGTGATTTTTGCGGTCCCCCAACCCAATGGCACTCCTCACCAAAAATGAAAGATCATCTTCTGAGCTTTGCCTTCCATTCCAATTACATGTTTACTTATGTTTTTTTGCCTGTGAAGACGTGAAATTAGAGGCACATAGCATCTAATCTTTGGATTCTCCCAACTCAATTCCAGGTTTGTCTCAATAAGGACTTTCGACGCCCAAAATGACTGCACACTGCGTGTGTATATGCATGCATGCATGTATATTACATAGAACTCCAGTTGGATGGAAGTTTGCCATGGACGCACGGTCTTGGCTTCGGTGGTTTCGAGCGATTACTTGAGCGAACCGGGCGCAGAACACCGTGTGTTTCTTCTTTGTTAGCTTCGCCGAGTTTTCGTTTCATGAGTTGTTTTTCCCCTGTTTTATCTTAGCCGAGTTTTTTCCATGATAAGTACAGAAGCCTTGTCTGCTGATTGCGAGCCCCAAAACGGTGAGATCCGGAAGGAGGAGGCCTGAATTGAATTCCAACCCACGAATAAAGGGACGGCCTGTTGCCTGCTCCGAGTGCCAGCTTGCACATGCGTGTCCTGTCATGAACAACACGCGTCAGACATTTTGCGCATGTGCTTTTGCGAGGGCTTGGAGTGTTATTTGCGGCAGGCAGCTGTTGCCAAGTAAAGAGAGCCCCCAACCCCCTGGTGGGAAACCAGCCAGCACCAACAATCCCAAACCAGCAATCCAATCCAGTCCAAACCAACAAAAACCATCCCAATCCAACCATCCAATCCAACAGATCCAAAGCAGACAATCCAAACCAATCCAAACCAATCCAAACCAATCCAAACCAATCCAAACCAATCCAAACCAATCCAAACCAATCCAAACCAATCCAAACCAATCCAAACCAATCCAAACCAATCCAAACCAATCCAAACCAATCCAAACCAATCCAATCCAACCGTCCAATCCAAACAATCCCAACCAATCCAAACCAATCCAACCATCCAAACCATCCAAGTAAACCAAACCACTCGAAACCGATCGAAGCCGAGTTCCTCTTCCACTCCAAACCCAGCAGAAAACGCGAGGCTCCGGGCGGAGGCGCCGCAGCTCAAGGAGCCGCCGGCAGAGACCAAATGCGATCGGTGCGATAGGTAGGGAATGAGACGTGGAATGCACCCAGTCCGGTCCCCTTAAAGGGGTCCAGTCCGGTGCCCTTAAAGGAAACCATAGGCAATAGTGCCAATGACCGCAGCATAGATAAGGTGAGGCCAGGCCATAGGCAATGCTCAAAGGTGTTTTTCATGGGATGCTTTATTTGTGGGTCATGCCATTTCTCATTCCCTGCTGAGCACCGGCAAGTTTTCTCAGCTGAGGAAGCATCTCAAGACTCAAGCTGCAAGAAACGACTGTTAGTGGGGGAGCACACATTTGGTGAAAGGGAAGGTGGGACGAGCTCGTTGAACATTCTCTTTGCACTGGATGTGAGCACTGAAGAGTTTTGGTTGCTGCCACTTTCGTTTGCAGATGTTCTATGCGACGGGCAATTCAGAGGCTAATCAGGCTTGTTCTGAAGAACATGGAAAAAGGGCCTTGCAGATGGCGCTTTGAAGCTCCCATGAATAGATTTAGGGCAGTGAGCCATGATGTCGGAGGCCTGAGCATTAAAGCAACTCCTTCCTCTGTTCAAGCTGCCCAATTTCCTACTGTCATCAATCGCATGAAAAGAACGAAGCTAACTGATCCTCGACTGTAGGCGGGTCTTCTGGCGTGTCCAAGCGTTTTATTCTATAAAGCAAACATGGCAGTGCATCGGACACAGCATGGCAGCATTCAAGCCCGAGGCTTTTTTTCTTTTCTTTGGAACGCAGACACTTCAACGAGTTGGGATGCCGACCCGGCCTAGATTGTGTTGCTTGCCGCGAAATCTGTTTACACAAGGAGCTTGCCCAGGGGCTTCAACAGGCGTCGTAGCTCTAGCCACTGTCTTTTACTTTGATTGAAAGAGGCAATACGCCAGGGAGTAGCCTGATCAATTCCTCAGCCTTGTCTTTTGACATGTGCTTTGCTTTGATGATCTGACCAGCTGTAGGTGGATGGATAGATAAACCTGCTTTGGTGGTCATGTCGTGGGTGCTCTGTCTCCATTTGCTTGTGCCCCTGCTTCTTTGGTGAAGTGTTCTTCAGGTTCTGGTTTGGAATCGTTTCTCAAGCCAGCTCAAAAATCAAGCAAAGGATCACTTGCGCCAAAGGACCTTTGAATGGCCTCAATGATATCCACCAGAGTAGGATGCAACCTATTTGCTTGTTCTGTACAAACGGAGCCGCTTGTCAGATATGGGCTTTGAAATCAATGCCGTGCCAGTGAATCCCAGGCATGCTTCGCAGATGTGTCACATCTCGCCGAGCGCGGCGAGGATTTCCACCTCAACGACAGCGTATACTTTATGATGCGCAAGGTGCAGGCGGATGAACAAGACGTATCATAGTGCGCGTGTAGAAAAAGGCGTGGCTGCTCAGCACGGGATCTCAGAACCTTTGAAAGGCTTGCAAGTCACTTTTGCCCGTGCATCAGGCAGCTCATGGGTGCTTCAGCCAAGCAGCGGTCTTGTTCAAGCCAGTTGGCCCGACCCCTGAACAACTATTTTCGACTTGCTGGGCGCATCCCAGATTGTCAGACATGAAACAGGGTGCCGAGCAAGGAATTGATGCAATAGCTCAAATACCTGGACACTTATAGAAGGCACAATTACAAACCTGAGTCGAATGCTCGGAACAGATGCTTACAGTGGCACAAACCTAGATATCGGTGTGGCTCAAAATTAAAGGGCTAGGGTTGCGCAGCTTTTAGTCTTTGGTCCCATTTCCCAAGGTGCCATTTTGGTATTTATTTGAGCCACAGCCATATGTTCTCGGCACACCGATCTTCAACGATTGACCCATAAGGATGGAATGGTGCCATGTTGGCGTGCCATTTTAGACTTAGGCTAGGTCGTACCGTGTGAGCGGAGGCAAATCGCTGAGTCATGTGGAACAGGCAGATGCGGTCCAAATGCCCCCAGCGCCTCCAGTTCCAGCTTTGTTTTTTGGGGGTAGAAGAAAGACTCAGCCAATTGAAAGATTCTGGGCTCGAGGGCCTCGACCACTCGTAGCTTGCCACTTGCAAGACGGTTCAGGGATTCCTAGGCTGGTTGGGGCGGCCCATGCCGTGATTTGGCAAAGGGATGGCCGTTTCAGTGCACGCAAACGTGTCGTATTTAGGTCTTTGTTCTTTCCCTGAGTCTTGACTGTGAGACATTGTCATACGCAGCCTTGCGCTTGAGCTGAGATAGAGATGTCCCTGGGCCTGTCTTTCAACCGTGCCACCGGACAGCAACTTTTCTGCCGCCGCACAGCTTTTCACCTGAGGCCACCTGAGCTTAGCTACAGTTCATTGGAAAGGTCAGCAACATGACAAGCATGCGCAGGAAGATGCAGCCACCTGAACAAGT